GGATCTTTGAGGATGGAGGCAGCTTTCCTACGCACCCTGCGGTGGTAAATGCTCTGCAGAGAGGGCAGTGGAGTCCTGGTGATCTTCTCCACAGTCTTTACCACTCTCTGCAGGTGCTTGCGGTCCATAGCAGTAGTGCTGCCGTACCAGACAGTGATGCAGCTGGTCATTTCAAGTATATGTTGATGCCTTTTAGTTAAGTAACATCCTGAATGCAGTTTTTTTACACTGCGCTACTGCTACTTGTACTTGAGTGAAGGCTCAGAGTACTTCCAGCACCTCAGCGTGGGGGTGTCTCCTGTAAACCTCTGCATGATGATAAAGTCTGCTGAATGTCAGCATGTGATTGGTTGGTGTTTGCTGTCTGCTTTCTAGATGTTTCTTCTTTGTACCTGCACCACCTTCCTCACTGTTTTCTGCCTTCCTCACTGTTTCCCGCCCTCACGTACGGCCCTTTTGTTGTTTATCTGTCCGTGCTCTTCTGCACCCCCACATACTCCCACTCCTTCATCTCTTTCCTCTCTGTCACCACGCCGCCCTTCCATCCAACAGCACTGGCTTCAGCCCCGCCGTGCTGAAGGACACTGCCATCTCTACCCATAAGCCCATAGAGGTGAAGGGCCCCGGCGGCAAAGCCACCATCATCCATGCCCAGTACAACACGCCCATCAGCATGTACTCACAGGACTCCATCATGGACGCCATTGCAGGGCAGACGCAGGTCAAGGGCCACGATGCAGGGTAAGAATGTCACCACCTCCTCGCCCTCCTCACCATCTGTCCATGTACTCCTCTTCTTCTTCTTCTCCTCCTCCCATCTTCCTCCCACTCCCCCCACCCTGTTACTACTTTCCAAACCCAAAACATTTAGTGCAACACAATGTGCCCCTGGGTTATGTTTCTAATCATTCTAATGTTTTTAATGAGTGTTCATAGTCAACACCTGCTGCAAATGTTGTCACACCATCCAATGGGTGTTATCAACCATAAATTTGATGTGGCCAGGTGAGGCGCACATCATTAAGCGGTAGCAGCCCTGTGTCCTCCCTGAAACCGCCACATACCTGTGCACATACAGAACATTGATCACTGTCTCAGTGGAAAGAACAGAAACAAGGACATGGTGGACCCGACAATGAATCATTTATTTGCCTTCTACGATGTCGTTCCTCCTCTGATGGGTTAAAACAGAGGTTGGGACAGGGCGAGCGTTTGAACCTGTGCAGCTCAGGGTGAATAATGTGACAGTGAGGCTGTCGTTCTCTGACAAGGGTGTTCAGCCTCTCTGCTTTATGCTGAGTTACATACCAGGAGGGAAACACTCCCACGTTGCAGGTGTTAACTGGCCTTTGTTGCTTGGTGAGAGAAGGCCCTTCCACTCCTTCTCCTTGCCTCGTTTTAGTTCATCCTAAAACTGATGCTTCTAAACAACAAACTGCAGCATAACTTGAGCTGTGATTTCTGTTGACAGGATGAAGAGGTGCTGTTTATTTACATTTCTGACAAGTTGCGGACATGTTGATGCTGAATATATTGGTAACATGTTCACAGATGTTTATTTGCTGTGTGTTATCCACACATTGTGAGGAAGGTTGGCTTAACAGCAGGAAATACCCCAGTGACTTCTACTTACCACCAGGGACGGCACTGCAGCGTCGGTGCAACCGCCACGCACACGCCCAGCTGGCTCTGATGCTAAACATGGCTCTTCATTCAGTGACAAAATAGTTTGCCACTGACAATAATTCAGCCAAGATCATGTTTCTTGGAGAATGTGCTTTTTATTGCATAAAAACATTGTTTTTTTGGATGCAGGGTTTGTCCTCCAAGCATTTCACACAGGACGAGATCTGTCGTCTCTTTCCGTGATAGGGTTGGAGACTGACTGTAGCGTCCTTCCTGCTCGCATGTGTGGACAAACACTGCTCTGTGTTCCTCTACAAGCTACTGCTCCGATTATACTAACAGTCAATTTTCCATCTTGTTGGAAAATTCAGGAGAAGTTGTGTGTGCATGAAAAAGGCTGGTTTCTTCCAGAGAGGGAAAGTGATATTGCTCCGAACATCACACGTGTTCTTTGTTTCAGCTGCTCTGATTAACCTGTTGTAACTGAAAAGCTAGTCTGAATAAAATCAGCCATGCTGAGGATGAGCTGCACTGACACACCAGTTCCACTCCTCTTCTTCCTCCTCCTCCTCCTCCCAGCTCTCTCTCCGACTCTGTGGTTATCAGGCTCTCATTTACTAAGAAACAGCAGCAGAATACTGAAATAGGATGTGTTTTCTTAATGAAACACAGTCAAACTGGTGTCACTGGTCAGTCAACGATGCCCTGGGCCCTTTTCTCCTCCTGTTGCTGGTTTCTATCTCGTCTACAAAACAAAGATCGAACCTGGAATTTCACAGTTAAACAGTTGTCTGTCTCGTGTTGCTTCCTTGTGAAAATTTGGCTGGTCCTCTTACACGGCGACAGCCTAGTGTTGCACATTTACACTTGTAAACTTGCTATTCACATTTCTTTTTAATTTTCATGTCATGTCATGCAAAGTCGAACCAGAACTGGCTCAGTATTGCTTTCTAGTTATCTTTATTTTCATCTTGTGCAAGTTCAGTTCCATTTTTTTGCTTGTGTGTCTCCTTGATATCAGATTTTAAAATATATTGAACTTTACCCTCTTAAACTAAAAAGTACCACAAGTTCCTAAAAGTCTACAGAGTTCCCCATTGTCACTCCTGTCAGCCTACACTCTGGCTCTAGTGTCTTGGTGTTGACCTTGTTCGGTTTCGGGTGTGGGGGGTGTGGCGACCTCTCTCTGTGGTTGCAGCACTCTTCCAGGTAAAGATCGCCTTGTGGACAGCGCCTCCCCGGTCTATCAGGCCGTCCAGATTGTGGAGAAGGACCCGGACGAATGGGCCCGCCGCGGTGCCGCCATGCAGTCCAAGTCCTTCCGGGTCTTGGCTCACATGACCGGAACCGAGGCCTGTAAGTGATGTTGTAACTATATCTGGTTACAAGCTTGTGTTGAAGTCCCCGCTGCACTGCATAGCGTAACAGAAACAAGGTTGTGATACTCTAAATAATTACAGTTGTTTTTATTTATTTATTTTCTGCACTTCTGATTGATGTTTCTGAAGTTTTACAACCAAACTCCTGATTAATCAAGTACAACAGTAAAATCTTTCCTACTCATAAACACATGAAGAATAATCTGATGACATTATAAATATCTTTTTTACTTTGAATAGTTTAAGGGCATTTTGCTAAGTGTCTGGTAACTTAAATATCTTTTTCAGTGCAGGACTTTTACTTGAAACAGAGTATTTTTACTGATCTGTGTTACTACTTTGAGTCCCAGTGTTTCAGAGCAGTTCCTAAAACACTTTGGGCCCATTTTGAGCCAGTTACTACAAGGTGTTTGTTGACTGCTACAGGCAGCCAGTGGTTTGTTGGCCAGGCACACTGAGCATGCCCAGTGACCTCTCCTCTCCCGTGTGGCTTCTGTCTGTCTTCCAGTACCAGAGGAGAAGGACGAGGAGGCGCTGAGGAGGAGCAGGTAGGCAGCAGAGCTCCGTCACACAGCTGCTGACCCCGGCTCCCCACCTGCTCACTCTGCCCCACCCCTGTTCACCGCCCACCTCAGCCTACAGCACTTTAACAAGCCAACATGGTGTGAGCCAGGGTTTCTTAGTAACTTTAATCTAGGTTTAATGAGCCTCTGTTGGTCTTTAGTCAAGAGTCAAGTCAAGAATCTTTATTGTCATTATGCATAGCACAACGAAATTTTTTCCGGCAGCTCTCAGCTTAAAAGACAGACACATTATTTACATAACACACAATTGTAAAAGTCAATATAAAAATATGGACAAATAAAAAGGGATGTATGGGACCTAATCAGGTCAGCAGCGTGTTAGCAGCAAGAGTGTAGTAACATTATAAGGTGCAGCTCAGTGCAAAGCTCAGTCTTTAGGAAGAGGTGTGAGTGGTATCGTCTGTGAACTTCATTACTGTGTTTGTGGGGTGAATGGCATCACAGTCATGGGTAAACGGAGTGAAGAGAACTGGGCTGAGCACACAGCCCTGTGGTGTGCCTGTGTTCAGGACCAGTGTGGATGATGTGCAGCTTCTGATTCTCACCACTTGAGGCCTGTTAGTGAGGAAGTCCTTAATCCAATGACACATCACTGCAAGCTTTCCCAGATTGTGCAGTTTCACTGCCAGTTTGTCTGGGATTACAGTATTAAATGCCGAACTGAAGTCAACAAATAGCATCCTGACATAAGTGTTAGGATGCTCCAGGTGGGACAGGGCTGTGTGTAATGCTATTGAGACAGCATCCTCTGTTGATCGGTTCTCTCTGTAGGCGAACTGATGGCTGTCCAGACCAACAGGGATGACGTCCTTGATGTGCTTTAGAATGATCCTCTCAAAGCACTTCATAATTACTGGTGTCAGAGCAACAGGGCGGTAATCATTGAGGCAGGTGACAGCTGATGTCTTAGGCATAGGCACAATGATGGAGGACTTGAGGCACACAGGGACTGAAGCAAGATGCAGGGGCAGGTTAAAAATGTCCAGGAAAAACTCTTGCCAGTTGGTCAGCACATAGCTTCAAAACCCAGCCTGACACCCTGTCTGGTCCTGCAGCTTTGTTGGTGTTGATCCTCCCCAGGGTGGAGCTCACCTGGTGTAGCTGAAGGACAAGATGCTGGTGCTGTCCCTCGAGCTGAGGG